GATTTCTTTGCACTGATTCCCTATAGAATTCTCTCCCAAGCAACAGAAGGTTGGTCCCATCTGTTCCTATTTTTTTTTTACAAGAGCTTAAAATATATATATATTTCTTTTAGCTATTAGCTGGCAGTTCTTGTTGCTATTAATATACAGTACATGCTATGTTATAATAGGCAGGTTCATTTATGTTCTGGATTTGGCTTATTTCAGCTAGTTTACTCTTAGGTTTGTTTGAACATTGATTTGCAGTTTGTATGGATATGTTGTTGATTTGTTTGGTAACAATTTCTTTTCTGTTTGGTAAGTTAAATAAGTTCTTTCAGAAGAAAGAATGGCCTATGTATGAATAAATAAATAAATACTGTAAATAAATGCCTTGGCAAGAATGGAGTTTCAATAGATGGCTAAGAAATACAATCAGTACGTAAATACATAGATGGAAACCATCTAAATCTAGTTAATAATGTTGCAACCTGATGCACGGAACTGTATCTGCGTATTTTCCCACTGTGCAAGTGAGTGGATAAAAGCATATGGCCCACCATTGGCAAGAACCCCTTGTATTCTACTACAAAGAAGTATGAGAGCGTATATTTCAGTACAGTACAACTAAGCATAAAAGTACTGATTACTGTAAGTGGATACAAACTCAGATGCATTGCAAAGTAGAAATTTGGGGGGAGATGGGCAGGGGACAAATTTAATAAATAAATAAAGTAGAAATGTCAAGTTGCAACTTTCTTTATTCTTCTGACATAATTTGTTAAGGTTTTTTTCCTCAACTACCACATTCTGCAGAAGTTCAAAGGAAAAGTGTTGCACCTCTTTTAAAAAGAATAACAAAATGCAAACACCCCCCTTCATATTCTGTTTTTCTCAACTCTGTCCATACTTAGAGATCGGTCACTTTGTAAAGAAACAGTAATTTCGTGGCTTATATTTGCAAGTTCAGTGCCATCTGTCTTCTGTGAGGTTCCTGCAAGTCAATCCATAATTATGTTAAAATGTGGTACTATCTGGGTACAGCCCTGTCAATCACGGAGGTATGCCAGTAGCCTTAGCCAGCACAGGCTCATTATAGTGTTTTATTATTCCTGTTTGATATACACCCATCTTTTACAGACAGGACAAATTAATGTTATGCTAAATGGGTGCATAACCCTCAAAAGTGAATGGGATTCTACTAGCCAGTTCCACAAACAGTATTAATATTTCTCCCGATTGTATCCACTGGATTAGTGAGTAATCTTTTGATGGCCAAGAGTAC